CGAGGGAAGGGAATGGTGTGAGCTAGTGGGCGGGGAGGTCAGGTCCTGGTCTGGGCCACTTGACTGCGATGTGGTGACTTAACCTTTAAGTTGCCACCATGAGACAACTGCACAGGCCAGTTTAAGGGACACATGAAGCCACTCCTGAGAGTCGGTGTGGTGCCGCCCCGGCACTCCTCCCCCACTGCTTGTGTGCGGAGCAGTTGGTGCACAATGAGTAGCTGGTGGAAGAACGAATGATCGTTCTTCAATGTCTAGCACAGAATGTTCTGGAAGCGAGCTCCATATTGTAATTCAAAGCCCTGTGAACCATTTGGAGCACCAGAGACTCAATGTAAATGCACACTACTCCAAGACAAGGCGCATGGGGCAGCCAACTGCGCACTGGACTAGGGTCCCCGGGACAAGGCATCCAGTCCAGTCCGCCCTGAGCCCTCTCAAGTACCCTGTTCGTCAGGGGGGGATGGCACCAGTCACCTACTGCAGGGCAACAAACCACTCCCAAACCTAGCCGCGTAGCCAACCACCACGTGTTGTCCCAGTTCTGCAGTTTCGGCTGCGCTCTGCTGGCCCGTTCTGGGTCCCTCGTTCTGGGTCCCTCGTGCAGCGGGTGGATGTTGGCCAAGAGCTCTTCCCTCCGGTCTGCCAGTCTGCCGGCCGATTGGCCAGAGTGTCTCCATTCTGCAGCAAGAGCCCACGTTTCTTACATGGCAGAGGCTCCTTCCAAGACGGCAAAGTCCAGTGCTCAGCAACACAGCAAACACCCCGTGTGCTTGCTTCCCACTGGCCGAAGCAGATCACACGGCCAGGCCAAGCCATGGGAGAGGAAGAGTAAAAGGCTGGGATCCTGAGAGGCCAGACGCATGGGGAGCACCCCAGAGGGCCTCTCAGCTCTGCTCCCTGGGACTTGAAGGTCCCTAGGACGTCTTGCCATGCTAAAAGCAGCGGGCTGTGTAGACTGGCCTAGGAGAGGTGTCAAGAGGATCCAAGAGCCTACCTGAGCAGACTGGCCAAATGTGTGATAATTTGCCTACCAAATAATGGGTGTCACTGACTAAAGTTACTAAACAAGAACTCGTTAGGGGGGTGGGAGAAGGGGAGAGAATGGTGGTACTTGATGAACCTAATTAATCTTGCTGAATTATACATGTAAAAAATATTGAAATGGCAGGTTATATATATATATATGTTAACTGTGCTTACTACAATGAACGGTCTGATAGCAGTCAGGTTAGGTGTAGGGACCGCAAATGGTAAGGTTGGCAATTCAAATCCACCAGGCATCTGCTCCCAAAAAGACCCCCAGTCTGAGAGACCGCTACAACTCAGCATGGATACAACGTTGTGGGCTTGGCTGATTTAGCGGTGAAGACAGACTGCCTAGGTCCGTGTTTTGAGGTTCGATGTGGACGCATTTCAAAACACTCCAAGTGAAAAAAACGCCAAGCGCAAAAGATGAGGTAATTTGAGGTAGCAGCTCTGGGAAATACCCGATCCCCAAAACAAAGATGACCCCATAGGTCAGGGTAGAGCAGGCTGCCCCTGTGGGATTCTGAGACAGTAACTCTTAGCAGGAGTGGAAAGCCTCATCTTTCTCCATAGTTTCAAACTATGGACGTTGAGATGAGGATCCCTGTAGGAAATGCCCAGAAATGGCAAATTTCTACATTAATCAGTGGGGCTCGGGGCAGGTGGGGAAGTGGGTTGTACCGGGACTGTTCTAAAACTGGCTTGTGGCTGCACAGGTCTGTAAATTTATGAGAAGTATAAACTTAACAATGAGTACATTTTGTGGTATGAAGACTGTGCTTTTTTTTTTT